AAAAAAAAAAAAAGGCCTGGTGTGATGGCACACACCTGTAGTCCTAGCTTCTCAGGAGGCTGAGCGGGGGAGAATCAAATTGCTTGAGCCTGGGAGGCAGAGGCTGTGGTGAGCCGAGATCGTGCCACTGCACTCCAGCCTGAGCAACAGAGCAAGACTCTACCTCAAAAACAAAAAACAAAATTCTTATTTTATTGAGGTGAAATTCACAAAACAAAATCAACCATCTCACAGTAAACATTGTAATGGGATCTAGTACACTCACAATGTCATGTGGCCACCACTTCTATTCAGTTCTGAAAGATTTGAAAGAAACCCTGTACCATTAGCAGTTTCTCCCCATTCCCCGTTCCCCAGTCCCAATCTGCTTTCTGCTCCTATTAATTTGCCTGTTCCGGGCATTTCCTGTGAGTGGAATCACATACGGTGTGGCCTTTTGTGTCTGGCTTCTTGTGCTTAGCGTGATGTCTTCCAAGTTCATCTGTGTTGTAGCAAATGTGTTTCCCAGGGCTGTGGTCACCGAGTACCAAAAATGTGGTGGCTTAAATGTAAATGTATTGTCTCACAGTTCTAGAAGCTAGAAGTCAAAACTCAAGGAGTCAGGAAGGCTGTGCTCTCTCTGGAGGTTCCAGGGCAGAATCCGTTCCACACTTGTCTTTGAGCTTCCGGCATGGCCAGCAATCCTCAGCGTTCGTTGACTGCTGGACACATCACTTCAGCCTCTGCCTCCATCATCACAGGGCTGTCTCCTGCATCTCCACATGGACTTCCCTGTGTGCATGTTTATCTCTGTGCAAATTTCTCCTTTTTGCAAGAACATCGCTCCTATTCGACCTCATCTGACCTTGATCACTTCTGTAAAGACCCCATCTAGATAAAGTCACATTATGGTGTACCAGGTGTTAGGCTTTCAAAGAACAGTTTTGCAGAGGCCACAGTTTAACAACATCCGCGTGTATCAGTATTGCATTCCTGTTCAAGGCTGAGTTGATGCTCCGCTGTCTGGATGGATCACATTTTGCTTCTCCATAATCCGTGGATGGGCATTGGGCAGTGTCTGACTTTTGGGTGTGATGAACTGTGCTGCTGTGAGCAGAGCCCCTGTTTCCAGCACCGTTGGTTACAGAGCTGGTAGTGTGTAGGTGGTTTTTACTCACAGAGGGAAGTCGGAGGCTGCATCCTCTCCCCTTTGGGCTCTGGACTCTGCCCCCGCAGTCACAAAACACAGGGGAGTCAGGGAAGTCTCGGCAGCCAACCCTCCCTGCCCTCCAGTGTTACTGCAGCATGGCCCCCTGTCACCCCATGACCTCCTCAGCCCATCTGGCTCATTCTCCAGGAACATGTGGGTGGACAGCCCTGGGCCTTCAGGTGTCCAGAGCACCTGAGAAAGGTTGGGGGCACCTGCAAGTCCCATCCTCAAAGGCAGGGGAATGGGTGCCTTTGATCCTTTTCTTCTGGATTTCTCCTTCCTTCCTTCCTTCTCTTTCTTTCGACAGCATCTTACTCTGTTGCCCAGGTTGGAGTGCAGTGGCGTGATCTTGGCTTATTGCAACCTCCGCCTTCCAGGTTCAAGCAATTCTCCCTGACTCAACCTCCCGAGTAGCTGAGATTACAGACACCTGCCACCAAGCCTGGCTAATTTTTGTATTTTTACAAAATACCATGTTGCCATTTTGGCCAGGCTGGTCTTGAACTCCTGACCTTAGGTGATCCGCCTGCCTCCGCCTCCCAAAGTGCTGGGATCACAGGTATGAGCCACCGTGTCTGGCCCTTTTCTTCTGGATTTTTATTGTGGTAAAATATACATAACATAAAATTCACCATTTTAACCATTTTTAAGGGTATTGTTCACTGGCATTAAGTATATTTCCATTGTTATGCAACCATCACCAATATTTGCCTCCAAAACCCTTTCATCTTTCCCAAAGAGACTCTGTAGTCATTAAACACTAACTCCCCAGCACCTGGTAACCTCTGCGCTCCTTTCTGTCTCTGTGAGTTTGACTATTTTAGGTACCTCCTGAAACTGGAATCCTATAGGATTTATCCTTTCGGGTCTGGCTTATTTCACCAAGGCATAATGTCTTCAAGGTTCATCCATGTTGTAGCATGTGTGGGTTCTGGGTAGTCACATTGAAGGTAGTTGGACTCTTATCCTGAGAGCACTGGAATCTCTGCAAGTGTTTTCAAGCACGGGGCGTGTGTCTGTGTGTGTGTGTGTGTGTGTGTGTGTGTGTGTG